CCAGTGGTATAGTCCAGTGGTATAGCCCAGTGGTATAGCTCAGTGGTATAGCCCAGTGGTATAGCCCAGTGGTATAGCCCAGTGGTATAGCCCAGTGGTATAGCCCAGTGGTATAGCTCAGTGTTTGGCTACAGATCCAAAAGTTGGCGGTTCAAATCCCACTCAAATCTTCTCGTACCTTATCTATAATTTTATGGCCTTTTACTTTTTACTCTTCTTCTAATCCTTTAACCTTTCTTCTTCCACTCTTTAGTTTTCACTTCTTTAAAATTATTCCTCCATTCAGCTTTTTTTCTTAAACTCTTCTTCTTCCTCCATTTTTCTTCAACTCTTCAGTTCTATGTCTTTTTCAGCTTTTGTTTGTCTTCTTCTCCTTCTTCCTCCATTCAGCACTTGGCATTCTCACAGCCATATTCTAGTTTAACATGTTATTCTCCTATCGATCTATTTTGTATTTGTTTTAATCCGTGTTACATCGTGATGTGAGATCACAAAAAAAAAAATCCAAATTTTTTCCAAAGGATCAAAGTATAAATTCCTTAACCTCATTCGCTCCAGATATATTGTCCAGGACCTCATGGAAACCGACCTGTACAAACTCCTGAAAACTCAGCACCTGAGCAACGACCACATCTGCTACTTCCTGTACCAGATCCTGCGAGGGCTAAAGTACATCCACTCAGCCAACGTCCTGCACCGCGACCTGAAGCCCTCCAACCTGCTGCTCAACACCACCTGTGATCTCAAGGTAGGGAAATTACATTTATTTAACCTCCTGAGACCCTGTGTCCTCATAAGAGGACGTTGCATTTTTGTCTCTCTTTACCATGATACTTCTTTTTTTCTTTCAGCTTTGACCTCTTGGCCTCATAGCAGATGCTATCAGACACTGTTTGAAATCTAAAGTAAAATGGTTTTATACATTTCCATCCAATCATGTTCTTATTGTGTAATAGAAAAACTGTAAATGAGTCAATGGGACTGTCAGAACAAAATTGTAAAAACATTTAATTAAATATGTATCTCATATATCTTTAAAAAAAAAGCTAAAATGCATGCCAAATAAAAGCTCGGGTCTCAGGAGGTTAAGAAGCTGTTACTGTCCTGTCTGTTTTAAAACGGTTTTAAAACATGTTTTGAGCTGTAAATACCTACAGTTCTGAAATTGACTGTTGTTTTTATTGTATTGTGAACATGCTGAGCATCCTAATTTGGATAAAAAAAGTCAAATAAACTAAGGATGTCCCTTTTTTCCCTTCCTATCCAATACCGATCCCGGCCTATCAGAGCTTGTATTAAAGTTTAAAGTTATTTATCTACTTATTTAGTTGTCAGACTCATGTTGAGCAGGGATTTACTCTGATAACAACTTAATGGTTAGGACACAGACCTGTGGTTACAGATGCTAATGCTAATGCTAATGCTCTGATAACAACTTAATGGTTAGGACACAGACCTGTGGGTTACAGATGCTAATGCTAATGCTAATGCTCTGATAACAACTTAATGGTTAGGACACAGACCTGTGGGTTACAGATGCTAATGCTCTGATAACAACTTAATGGTTAGGACACAGACCTGTGGTTACAGATGCTAATGCTAATGCTCGTGTGGGAATCAGACTTTTTTTAAAAACTGGATCTGGAGTCTGGATCTCCTGGATACGCATTTTTTTGCAAATATCGGCATCCGATCCAGATATCTTTTTTCCCCATTTTTTCTGATGTTGAATGCTATTTTTTGTGTTGAATATGTTTTTTTTTTTCCCTTTATGTAAATAGATGCATATTTTTATCCTGTGCGGGCAGTGCTTTTATTTATTTTATATTTATTCTGTATATCTTTTTGTGCAGAACTTTGGAAACCTTGTGTTTGTTGAAATCGTGCTATATAAATAAAGTGGATTGGATTGGATTTTTAACTGGGGGAAAAAAAGGGAAATAGGAAAACCTCCCAAGTTGCGTGATTTAAAGAGTTTTCCAGCTATCAAGCCATTTCTTAAACAGTCTTACAGTGGGGGAAATAAGTATTTGACCCCTTGCTGATTTTGCA